TTCAACTAATTGTTATCACAATTAGCTAGGTCTTCCTATATTTATAAACAGTAATATACTTAATGTGTCATCTACCCTTTATCTTCTAGGATTAGTTCTTACTTCCAATATTGGAAACCATATATCAAATTCATTGCAAAATTAGCATTTGCTAAGGTTGCACCTTTTTATCGTGATCGCTGCTTTCTTAATTGGGATTCTATTTTATATTTTATATAAATATCAAATCCGTCCTTGTGTGGAATACAGTTAGCCATATCTGGGACGAATCTTCTAAGATGCCCTTTTTCTTTTAGAAAAGGTGCAAAAACGCATAGTAAACATAGTTGGACCTGCTCTTGCAACCAACTTTTAACCATTATCACATTGTCGTAATGTTGCTTCTCTTTCTCTTTTCTATGAAAACTATAATGGTGGCTACTCTAAAGAGTGTGCGTATCTTGTGTCATCTACTAAAATTCATTATTGTGTTACTCGTTATTAAATTAAGTCTCATTCCTTTACTCTGACTGTTCCTAAGTTCTGCAAAAATTCTTATTTGTCTAGTTTATTTCCTAAGATATCAGTTCTTTGGAATTCTCTCCCTTCTACTTGTTTTCCTGATTCATACAACTTGCAATATTTTAGGTCTCTGTTAATTGTTATCTTGCTTTATAAACTTTATCTTTTCTCTTCCAATAACTTCCAACTGTGGTTGCTTGCAGTCTTGTTGAAAGTAGAGATTTAAAAAAAAAAAAAAAAAAAAAAAAATATATATATATATATATATATATATATATATATATATATATATATATATATATATATATATATATATATATGCATCTAAACAAACAAATAAAATTTTACTTGAATTGTTTCCATTACTTTCAATTTCTTTATTAAATAAAATAAGATGCAATTGATGACAGTTTTAAATTGCTCAAAAGATTGGGTTGTACTTGAAAAAAAAGTATTAATTTTATTAATTTATTTAACAATACTTGTTTATTAAGCAACACAAAACGCAAGTCTCGCGAACGAAAGACTACAAGGAGTGCTATTTAATTTGCCCCCTAATTCTGAGAAGATTTTATGTATTGCTAAGCTAATACTTTTTGCTGGCGCACCAAAACTTAAAGAAAAAATTGCTCAAAGTTTACAATTCATTTTGTTTGTCAGCATTTTCAAAAGTTGCTTTTATGAGTGGAAAAGTTGCCTAAAAAAAGTGACTTGCAAAACAGTAGGAGTTACGTTTTTGGAAAAGTGTATTTTTGACGAGTCTAATTTTATTCTTTTTGGATCCGACGAAAAACAATATGTTCGTAGTCCCCAAAACCAAGAACTCAGCCCTAAATATACTCTAAAGACTGTAAAACATGGTGGTGGCAAGGTGATTGTTTGAGGCAGTTTTTCATGGTATCGCACGGGTCCGTTGTACAGAATGTAAGCGAAAATAGATTAACACTTGTACAAAAAAGTATTAGAAAACTTCATGTTGCCATGAAAAATGTCGAGGGTAATCATCATTTGGTTTACAAGTTTCAACAAGACGATAACCCCAAACACACCGCCTAAAATGCCAAAGTGCGGTTTAACGTAAACAAGATTGATGTTTTTAAGTGGCCCGCACAATCACCAGACATAAACCCAAAAGAGAAAATTGACAAAAATGTCAATTTGTTCATTTAACTGCAACAAATTAACTTTGGATCAAAATAACTATATTATATATTATTTTAAAACATCAAGAAATCTATCTGTCTATACAAAAAATGTTTTAAAAGCTATATAAATGTTTTAAAAGCTGATGATGCTGGTATCCATAATATAATATAATATAATATATATATATATATATATATATATATATATATATATATATATATATATATATATATATATATATATATATATATATATATATATATATCTTGAAATTTTATCATATTATCTTGTTCGTCTCGCCAAATTTGTCAGTTTTTTTGATTCATTTTAAAAATATTCGTTTGTTTAAAATATGTTCTAAATTTTATGTTAAAATGGCTGGTATATTTTGCGTAACTATTTCAAAAAAATTTGCTTTTTTTTAGTTTTAATTCGGGAAATTGAGGCAAAGATTCTTAGCAAAGAAAAAAATTTTCAAAAGTATTTTTTATTAAATTTTTTATAAGCACTTATAAAAATTATGTTAAAAATTTTAAAAATTTTATTAACATTTATAAAATTTTTTTGTTAACATTTATTAAAAGGATACCAATCGTTAGTTTTCTAGGAGTAATAATAGATGAAAATTTGTCACGGAAATCACATATAAAATATTTAGAAAATAAAATATTAAGAAATATTTATATATTATATAAAACTAAATCATATCTTAACACCTCTTTTCTAAAAAAAAATATACTTTTCATCTATTCATTGTTTTATCTCTTACTGCAATATTGTATGGGGTAGTACTAACTATGGTTAGTTGAAAAAACTTCATAGTAAGCAAAATATGCATGCAGGATTATATTTGGTGCCCACAGAACTTTTCAATGTGAACCTCTTTTAAGGAAGCTCGGTGCCCTAATTGTCTATAAACTTAATATACACCATGTTCTATAATTCATGTTTAAAACTAAACATGAACTCTCTCCTATTGTATTTCAGTCTTACTTTAGTGAAATCTCGCAAAAATTTTCAATTAATATCTTTATTATTCCAAAAACTAATTCAAAACTAAATTCTAACAAAATCCAATACCGCGGACCGTTTCTATGGAAACATTTTTCGAAATTTATCACAAAAAATAATAATGTTCAACACATCTTTTTGGAAAAATTTAGAAAAGAATCTAAGAATCTCTTATTACAAAAAAACTGATTTAAAATATCTCTTTTAAAAATAATACACAAATAATATAAGTTATCTAAAAAAATAGTTATTGACACTACTTCTCTTTTGTTGCAAGTTTAATCTAATTTAATTTTTTGTTGAAAAATTTTAATACTTTTAAATTATTGTTAATCTTTGCGTTATGTCTATCTATATCTAATCTATGCGTTATATTTCAACACTAATATTTATATTATGTTATTAGTTATATTGTAACTAACGTATTTAAAATTCTTGTTATGTACTTATCTACTCTTCATTTTTTATATTAACTGACGATTTTTTAGTGTAAATTTTATGATGGGACTTGATGATAAGACAATCTATGTCTTCTGCTTGCTCCAGTTCTCTTATTAACACGATTTATTTCATTGTAAATTTTAATGACAAAACTCTTTTTTTTAAATGCCTAAAAAAAAAAAAAAAAAAAATTCATGCTTTGTATTTATGTTATTATTTTGTATTATGTTATATTATGTATTTATGCTTTAATACTTTTACTAAAGGTCCAAAAATTTTTTGTTGGTGTACCATCATAAATAACTCGATAACTTTAAAACCATTGACAAGTTCAACGACATAAGGAAAAAAAAAATTGTGCGAAAGCTAAATAATTTTATTTATTATTATTATATATATATATTATTATATACTTGTCTATAGATATCATCAAGTAAGACCTAGATATCATCGAGTAAGGTTTGATTTAAAATGTCATCAAGTCTGATAAGTTTCATAAATTGAAATATTGGGTAAATAATATATATATATATATATATATATATATATATATATATATATATATATATATATATATATATATATATATATATATATATATATATATATATATATATATATATATATATATATATTATTTACCCAATATATTTATGAAACTTATCAGACTTGATGACATTATAAATCAAACCTTACTTGATGACATCTAGGTCACTTGTCTATATAATAATTTATATAATAATAATAAATAAAATTTATTATTATTATATATATTATTATATAAACAACTTTGCAAGATAACGGTAACGCTTTCCAATATTTGGTTGCAATGCCCAGATCTGATATACATGATATGAGGCCTTCGTACGGCAATTAGACGATTGATAATAAACCGTATGTCTATAATAAAGTCTTTGTATAATTACATTAAAATCCTTGAATACAATTTATATTTCTATATCTATACAAATTACGCTTAAACATTCGTCAACGTTTCTAATGAATCTAAACGAAAAAAAAACCCTCTCTAATCATGCAACTTAAAAATTGCGAAAAATCTTACATCTTTTGTTACATGATTGAATGTCTTTTTTTTCCGATCTGTTTCTGGAAACTTTCCCTTATTATATTTATTACATTATATTTAGATTTAACAACTTTTGCGATGTTTTTTGTTTGAATGAAACTGTACAAGCTGTTTTTAGTCGAATGAAAAATATGCTGGCGCTGGTGATGTTTAAACACACATTGGTCTAACGTATGTAAGCTAGCTGGGTATTATTATATTATACATTTAGACTGGGTATTATATTATACATTTAGCTGGGTATATTATATTATATATTTAGCTGGGTATTATACATTTAGACACCTTGGACGGAAAAGACGTTAGTATCGATTATGTTCTATAATGAATGACTTTTAGTTCATTTTTTTTTTGTATAGCGGACATATATTTATTAATAGCCATAGATTCATTCGTAATAATTTATTTCCTGAACTTCGTTATTAGTGGCACAAATTTTTTTTCCAGCACTTTTTAAATACACTTGCATAGATGCCTAAATACACTTGCATAGATGCTTAAGTACACTTGCATTGATCTGGTTCAATATTTTAGTACTACAATAAAAGTTTTTATCTCAGAATAATAAATATCTCAGATTAATAAATTTAAATTTCTTAAAATTTGAAACTAATAATTCTATTTGATTGGTTGGGAAAAGCGGATATTTAAAAATAAGATTTTTTAGTTCCTTTGACTTCTTTTTGAAACAGTTTAATTTTTCAGTAGCCAACAATTGCTCAGTTATACAAACAATTGCTCAGTTATACAAACATTTTTTCATTCGAAATTAATATAAAGATAAAAAAGAAAAATATTTAACTAACCTTAGCAGATAAATCGAAGCGTTATCATAACATGAAACATAACTATATCATGGCCTTCAAATGGTTTCACTTTATTTTTTTATTTCCTTATATTTTTCCTGTTCAAAATCAAGTATGTAATGGGATGAAAGAGCTTTGCAATTTACGTATTGATCAAGTTACCCTTGCAGGAAGTCATAATTCTGGTGCTGGATTTAACGGATTTTTATATTATCATAAAGTTGTTAGAGTACCGGCATTGAGTTGTGCTTACAAAAATCAACGACTAAGCATTACCGGTCAACTTGATCTTGGCGTTAGATACTTTGACATTGATGTTTGTTGGGATACCTTCTACAAACCAGAAAGTCCTTGGACGTGTCACCAGCGCGCTTTTGGCGGGTCTATAAAAGTAATTCTTGAACAGATAAACAATTGGATGAACAAAAATAGAAACGACGTAATTGTTCTTCATTTTAATCGCGACTCAACTGACCCTGACAAAGCAGGTAACTAGGATTCATTAAAAACCTTATTCCGACTTCATTTCTAGTTTTTTTTACGCATAATGAGTTTAGTTGTAAAGTAAAAGAAAATATTTTTAATTTTTTTATTTATTTTACAACTAAATGTTTTTATTTTTATATCTAAACCGTTTTGCAAGACCGTACTAAGTAATTAAGCTCAAGTATTTTCTTTAAATTTTTATTTAACGCTTTTTTCAAATAAAAATTGCAAAAAATTGCGATGATTAGTCTGGGAACAAACAAAAAAAAAACCTGAAATTTTGGCCACAAATGTCCAAAATAAGAAAGCAAAATGTTTTTTGTACTATTCTTAAGTCAATTTATATTCATCGATAATTTCTAATATATATATATATATATATATATATATATATATATATATATATATATATATATATATATATATATATATATATATATATATATATATATATATATATATATATATATATATATATATATATATATATATATATATATGTACAGAATAAGATATTAAATATTTTTTAAATTTTTTATCTCTTTCTCTTAGGACCTGCAGTTATGAAACAGATTGTAGATTTATGGGGTGCTCCAAAAGCTGGGGAATTAGCAATTCAAACAAACAAATATGCAACTTTAGGACAATCTATCTTAGACAATAAAAGAATATATATTATCATGGCACAAAAATTAACCAATAACATTGCTGACAAATCTAATTATATCAACGAACATGATGTTGGATTTACCTGGACAAGCAAACATGGCGCAACACAAAGTGATGCAAAAGAATTAATAGAAGAAATGGGAGAGAACCGATGCGAAAGGGAGACGTTTGGGCATTTTTTTGTAAGGTATGATTTGTATTTGACATGGGGATTGTGTAATGACGATTTAGCTGCTTTAGTGAAACCATTTATACGCCAAGGAACATCAGGTTGCTATAAAGGAACATCGAAACAGAAGAAAACTGTAAACTTCATACTGGTTGACTATGTCGATGAAGAGGTCGTCAACGTGGCAAACGATCTAAATAAAATAAATATAAAAACCTTTATGGGTTAAATATAAAAGTTTCAATCTTAGTTTGCAGTTTCTTTGTTCGAAGTTTATTTTAATAAATGATGGCTACCAATTTAAAATTCTAAAAAAGTATTTTCTTTTCATCTTCTGTATCTTCTTTTTATATGTAAATTGTTTTCATAAGTGAAAAATTTAAACGGGCATTTTGAAGTGAAACTTTTATTTGCATATTTTAGATGGGTGTGCACTTTATTGCGTACATACTTAATGCACAATATCCATAATAATACGTTTTAATTCTAACACCGGTAATAAAATAAAATTTTATATTTAAAAAATAAGTTTAAAGAATCTTATTACCCAAGACTAGCTGATGCAGGTTATAGTTCTTCGCCTAGTTTGTCCCGTTTCATTTGAATTAGTATTTGTTTTAACAGTTACCATGAATCAAGTATGGAAGCCAATCCTAATAGTTTTAAATTAAATTAAACTATTTTATAAATTAAATAAAATAATTTAATTTAATTAAAAAAATTAAAAAAAAAATAATTCATATCAATACGTAGTTATATTGTATATTAATAGCTTTAAATTATAACATTTACCTGTGTAAACCCGCATAAACTTTAAATCATATTAATTCAATTAATCTAAATAATTTATCACTAAACATAATATATGTAAACCACTAATAAATATTAATGGAACATAAGCAGTATTCTAACATCAAAATATTAGAACCATATATCCTTAACCAAATTTTTTAATTATAATTAATTGAACTAGCTGATTGGGCCCATAAAAAAACGGATCATTGTAAGTATATTCTAAACCAACCTTTTATATACTTTTCTCTTATATATATATTAATATATATATATATATATATATATATATATATATATATATATATATTTACTTTTTTATTTTTTTTCAATATTACCTTATTTCAATATTACCTTATACTTTCAATATTACCTTCAATATTACCATTTTCAATATTACCTTATTAACTTCAATACTTTTTTAATAAAATAATTTCTGAAAACTTGCTTTAAAAGAAAAAAAATTAACATGTGCACCTTTTCCACTTACGTAAAGCTCATATGAGATTTATAATTATATTTATAGATTTAAGTTTTCATTTTTTCTAAACCTATATCATTGATAGATCAGTGGTTTAGTGCGTTGTCATCAGTGTTGATTCGGTAGAGGAAAGGGGGGGGGGTTAAGACCTTAGCGAAATAAATTCTTAATAAAGTTTAAGACTTTAGCTTAATAAATTTAGAAATTTCTAATTGTTAAAATTCTAAAATTTTCTCATTTTATAGATAAATTATACAGACTGTATAATTTACAGCATGCAAACTCTACATTTACTAAAGACGTTTACACTTACAGACTTGGTACGTAACGCTAAACAAATGGCAGAACTAATAAGATTTTAGACAATTAAAAACTATAGATGCGGCCTTAGCTGTAATACAAAATGAGAAAATAGGCTTATAAATAAAGAACTATTTAACATATTGATTTTTTCACAAGATATCGAACTTTTGTTTACATTTCTAGATTTGAAAGAAAAATATCCGGTTTTAAAAAAAACAGTTTACCGTGTTTTTTTCGGTTCATCCAGACTAATTTCTGACTAACCTGGAAAGTTACATAAGTCCCGATATTTTTATTCAAAAAACAGTAACAGAGCAACTCCACGCAATTTTTTCATTGTTTTTTAGTCTTTAGATCAACACCGCAATTCAGCTAATATAGATAAACTAAATTATTAACTTGGCGTTAAACAAAAAGTTTTGGTATTACTCTTAGAAGTTTTATAGCTGAATAACAATTTTTTGTCATTAGAACCTTAAATAAGCCGGTTTTTTTTTTAATGCATAAATAAACTTCTTACAATAACAAAGTAAAACAAATGAGTAATATTCTTATAATGTTGAAAGAAAATGAACTTTTTAAAGTAGATAGACTAATAAAAAAAAATATATAACAAAGGAAAATGACTTGATATAAGCAAAAATGATTTGCTTAGTAATAATAGAAAGTTAACAACTTTAGAATGTTAGTACTAGTAATACATAAATACGTTGTCCATGGAAAAAATAATAATACTTTTAAGTTTAACTTTAAAAACAGGGTAAGAAGAAGGTGAGTTAAAATTTTGCTAAATAACCTTATTCCAAAGACATAGTGCATGATAACCAATACAAAACTGATTAAATTTGGTTTGACAAAAAATTAGGTTTAGCAAATCATTATTTCTTAGGGTATATTTGTTTACAGGTTTTAAAGTAAAGATATTTTAAAAAAAGTTGGGAACTAAATTATTTTTCCACATATATTAAATATATTTTTTCACATATATACAAAACATAAGATATTGAATACATTTAATTCATATATATTAAGTAATCTCATTTCGTTGAATAAAGGTTTCTAATGAGTAAGACGATTTACAAAATTAATAATACGAATCGCGTGTTTCTGACGATTACAAAGACGTTTCAATCTATTTTTATTAGTACTTCTTCAGGAAATATTTGCATAAATTAAATAGTTATAGATAAACGAGTAATAAAGTTGAGACAAACTCTTTTTATTTAAATAACCTCTGGTTTTTTACAAAGTTGCAATAATTTTAAAAATTTGGGTACAAATGTAATCAATCTGATATTTCTATGTAATGTGTTTTTCCAGGAAAACTCCTAAAAACTTTTTAACACAGTCTCTTATAATCTTTATTTGGTTGATAAAAATTGGAGGCAGTTTTGAGTTTCAAACCTGGAAATCTTGCTTATAGAGCAAGCGCTCTAACCACTGCACCAAGACCACAAATATTTTGATGTTGTTGACAACAAGAAACGTTTCTTGGCATTGAACTAAACAAAAGCACATGCGGTGGGCGTAAACTAGCAAACTTTAATTTTCCAACTGATTCTTCAGGATAATCACCTTTAAAAACAGCATAAGCTTTTTTCACATTCATAGACAAAAGACTTTTTTGCACAGTTCTTGTTCTTTAATCTCACCACAACTTTTTACCGGATGCTTGACGAGATAATTCATCAGTCTGGTAAAAATCAAGAACCAATTTTACAGTTAAAGCATCTAGTGTATTTTCACTAAGTATTTTTTCTGGGGCTAAGGGTTTCATTTATTTTTGTTAAAGGTTTTTGTTCAACTTTACCCCTCCTCCTGAGTGATTTTGGTAGTGCTGACTCGGCTCTCTTAACAGCTTTTCCAAGAGTGCTCACAGATTTGTCATGATCTAACTGCTACAGATTTTGATTCTGCTATTTTACTTGCCAGCTCTTTTTTTTATTTTTTATTTGTCATTAAAAAAAAAAAAAAGAATACAATGCCGAGTTATATAAATAAAATCTACATGACCGGGGCTAAAAGATGACAATATTTGCCTTATCACTACACCCCGACGTGCTTTCATCAGCAAGCGTGTATAACCATTAAAATGTAAACATAAAACATAAAATTACTTTGTATCATATAAAAATTATATACAAATATATACAATTATGTTTAGATCAGTTACTAATCTATAATCAAAAGAAAATCGTAAAAAAAAAAAAAAAAAGCAATCACTTAAAAACTGAAGATAAGTTAATAGGATAATTTAAAGAAAATTTAATTGGTTAGACTAGTTAATAAAATAGTTCTTAAAAAAGAAGATAAAAAAATCTTAAAAAGAATTTAATTCATTAACATCGTTAAGAAGTTTTTGTTTAAATAGAGAAAGTGAAGAACAATTTTTCAACTGGTTATTTCATAAAGTGTTCCATAATTTAGGACCTCTGATGCCAATAGAAAATTTAGTAGCCAAATAGTGCATTTTAGGTTGCTCGTAATTGTAATTTGAAAATCTTGTAGGGTACACGTGATTAGTTTTATTGAAAAATGTATTAAAAATAATAGGAGTTAATTTATAATGTAGTTTGTACCTCTGATGCCAATAGAAAATTTAGTAGCCAAATAGTGTATTTTAGGTTGCTCGTAATTGTAATTTGAAAATCTTGTAGGGTACACGTGATTAGTTTTATTGAAAAATGTATTAAAAATAATAGGAGTTAATTTATAATGTAGTTTGTACCTCTGATGCCAATAGAAAATTTAGTAGCCAAATAGTGTATTTTAGGTTGCTCGTAATTGTAATTTGAAAATCTTGTAGGGTACACGTGATTAGTTTTATTGAAAAATGTATTAAAAATAATAGGAGTTAATTTATAATGTAGTTTGTACATAAATATAAGAATTTGACAAAGGTTTAACTGAAGAACATTGAGTATGTGATGATTTTTGAATAGTTCTTTAGAATGTGCGAATCGACCTGCATTTGAAATAATCCTGACAGCGTGTTTTTGTCTACTAAGCAATTTTTTAACTTTACTTACATTAGAGCTGCACCATGCAATATTTACATAGTTTATATAACAATGTATGAGGAAGAAATATAAGATTTTTAAGCAGTTTTGGTTTAAGATTTGCTTAGCTTTGTATAGTATGCCAATATTTTTCAAAGTTTTATTTTCAATTGTTCTTATGTGTTTTCTTCTTGTCATGTTTTCGTCAAGTATCACTCCTAAAAACTTTAATGATGACTCTCTAACTATTTTAGAGTTTTTTTTTTTTTTTTTTTTTTTTTTTTTTGTTTCTTTATTACAATATTTATGATACAGATACAAATAATATAAAAAATAAAAAATAGAAGGTAACAAGTCAAGATATCGTTAAGAATAATATAATAATATAAAGAATATTAATAAATATAAAGAACGCGGATACTCATAGAAGACCATCAGGTCTTGTCACAGAGAAACCGCTTTTGAACGTTTTTTTTTTTTTTTTTTTTTTTAATTTAATTTAATTTTTTTTTTTTTATTATTATTATTATTTTTTTTTTTCAATGTTTTCATTTTTTGTATTTATTTATTTTTGTTCAGTTTCTTTTTATTACAAAATTAAATTTATTAATAAAAGTATATAAAGTTCGTAATATAATATTATAAATAAACATACAATATTACAATAGAAGAGT